AGATTTCATCTAAATTGAGGGCTCCAGGACAAAAAGTTCTCAGCAATATCATAAGATTCAACTACCGAGGCATCTTGGTTGACAGCACACTGAAAGAGAAGGGGGAAAACCTCAACTAAGGGGCTATCCAAACACCATGGGTCCTTCCAAAATCTCAGCCTATCACCTCTGCCCACCTTGAAATCCAAACCTTTGGAGAAAACAGGGAGGGACTTCATAATCCCCTTCTAGATAGAGCAACCCCAATTGGGTAGAGGGTCCAAGGAGATCCAGTTACCCCAATCCACACCATATTTAGAGGCAATTAGATTCCTTCACCATTTATCAAAAAAAAAGATTCCTTCACCAAGAGTTTCTTTCAGACCCAAATCTCCAGATCCATTTGCTCAGAAGAGCAGTATTGAACACCTTAATTTTCCTTATTCCCAGACCACCTTCCTCCACAAGTAAGCAAACTTGATCCTTTTCTTTCTTCTTCCCAGCCTGTCCAAGGGAAATTTCTCTGCCAGCTCTCTAACTTCTTAGCTACTTTAGAAGGGACATGAAAGAGAGAGAGAATAAGGAGGTTGGAAAGAGTCACTCTACCCCTAGAAGAATGATGTTTCGCCATCCAGGAAGATAGTTTCTTTTCCATCCATTCGATTATTGGGTCCCAAATAGATGAGGAAGTACATTTTGCCCCAAGGGGAAGCCCCAGATATTTCACTAGGAGATAGTTCACCTGACAGGCCAACACCCCACCCAACTCCACCAAATTATCAACTTGACCCACAGGGATGCTTAAGCTTTTGCCCATATTCGCTTTGAGACCCAAAACCACTTCAAACCAGAACAGGATACAGAGCACTACCTCCAACTGATCAGGAGAGGCATCAATAAACACAAAGTATCATCAGCAAACTAAAGAAGATGCACTTTTCCTCTCCCGAAGAAATCTCAAACCCTTCCCACAACCCTTCAGAAGCAGCCGACTTGCTAAATTGAGAAAACACTTCCATGAGACAAATGAAAAGCAAGGGGGAGATGATGTGGACAGAAAGACAAGTTACATGCAGTACCTCAAGTATACAGCAATAAGTTTTCTTTCTTTTTTTCTTCTTTTTTTCCTTTTTTTTTCTTGCCTCATCAGGAGAGGGGATTCCCCTGTCTGATACCTCTAGAGCTCTCAAAAACCTTAACCCAGTTCCTCCATTTTTGTCCGAATTTCGTTTTCTAAAGCACAAAATCAAGACATCTCCAGTTGACATGGTTGTAAGCTTTTTTAATGTCCAACTTGCAAATTAGACTAGGTTTACCTTCCCTCCTTCTAGAGTCAATGAGCTCGTTTGCAATAAGAACACTGTCAACATTTGCCTACCTGGAATAAAAGCACACTAGTTTTCAGAAATCACACTATTCAACATCCCTTTCATTCTTTCATCTAGCATTTTCACCAAGATTTTGTAAAAACTGTTAAGAAGACTCATAGACCTAAAGTCTTTTAAGTTCACAGGTCCCCCTCAACTTTCAGGATAAGGGTGATAAAATTAGTATTCAAACTTTTTTGCTCAACTTTTGTAGACAAACCATTCTCTAGTTTCCTGATTTTAACCTTTTCTTTGATTTTCCCCAATTTTATTTGCAAAGATGTGTGAACTGGAACCAACCACTTCAAGATCAATCCAGACCAAATTCAACATAGGGGTGAAGCCATCCGCTTCAAACCATGCATTCTCAAACTTGAAAGAAGCTTTGCATTCCACAATCAACTGAATGGGACTATGACCAGAAACAGATCTAGGTAGGGCCAGTTGTCTAAAAGCAAGGAAAAACTCATCCCGATTAGAAGATACTAGGAATCTGTCTAGTGTTACCAGCATAGGGGATTCCTGATTTTTTGTCCAAGTAAATTAAGCAGCCACTAAAGGAAGGTCCACAATATCAAAAATATTAACAAATTCAACAAACATGCACATCGCCCTAGTCCTCCGCCCTCTTGTCTTTTTGTCTATAGATATTATTGTCACATTAAAGTCTCCTCCTAGAGTCCAGGGACAGTCAAATGAACCACTAACCCCTGCCCTGCTAACTCCTCCCGGAAAGCACTTATCATGCTAACATCAATTGGACCATACACATTTGTAATTTGACACACCTCCCCACCAGCCAACTCTAGAATCATAGAAATTGAGAATAAATCGATCCTGTGTGAAATAACTTTACACCATGCCTGGTCCCACACAATCATCAAACCCCTACATTGTCGACTACCGGTTTAGAAAACCATCTAACTTGCCCTCCCCCTAGATACTTCGGATTGTAGCAGCCTCCATTATTTCCAACTTGGTTTCTTGTAGTAAAATGATTTGGGAATTAGACCTCTTTAGGACATCACACACCAACTTCCTTCTCCTTCCCGACCCTAAACCCCTCACTACTCCCAACCTTATTGTTTAGTCCCCATGTTAGTCTTATCATTTCTTGACCTTTTTTTTGAAGATACCCCCCTTTCTTGCTGCTAGCTTCCCTCTCTCTAGGAGGATTCTGTGCTTGATACCCACCAGATTTTTTATTGTCTCCTCTTCCAGACCTTCCATTGGCACCCCAAAAATTTTCCCAACCACAGAAGCTTAGAGGTCACCCATTTAACAACACCAAAATCAAGTCAATCGGGAATGTATTAACATAACCCTACAAATTTAGGTTGCAAGTTGAGTGACAGACTCTCTCTCTCTTCTTTTTTTTTTTTTTTGAAGAGTAAATAAAAGAGATTTTATTAAAAGAAAAAAGGTTACAGAGTAGGAGGTGACAAGAAGGCACCTCAGCACTACAAAACAACAAAACACCAATACAAACAAGCAGAATACTGAATACAAATCTGCAGAACGAACACAATCCACCAAAGCTCCCCCAAAACTGGACATCAACTCTATTTCAACTCTGAGGACGCTAGAATCCAATCAGAGATGCAATGCCCAACCAAAGCCACCAGCACCTCAAAGGATTTAAAACAACACCTCCTGAAAAACCTCTGGTTCCAACCACTCCTCACTACACCATCCTTGGAAGCTCATCCTTCGGGTACATGTTGAATTGTTTCCCGTGAAGAAACTGCCTTTCCTCACTCTCTTAACCTTGTCTTCCCTCCTGGCTTTTCAAACTGTTCTAAAGCCCTCCTTGCAAAATCTTTTCCTCCCCAAAAAAGATGAAGTGCCCTTGTCACACATATTGTAATTGGGAAAGTGGTACCCACTATCTCTTCTTTCCATCCAAAAAAGTCTAAAAAAAATAATATGTGTGCATAAATAATTGTGTCCAAATCAAGCTCCTAGTTGGGGGCTAATTTGCAAGTTGCAACATAAGCATTGTTTAACATCAGGGTTTTTTTTTCTTTGTATATTACATGTTTTCATCACCTACCTCACACATTTCAGACAGTATGGTAACAGCAACAGCTATACCCCATGACATGGTCAGGTAGAAGCCTCACTGCTTTATTCAATTCTATAAAGTTCAGAAGCTTGCTCTAAAAATTTGCCTTTTCTATCAGAAAGACAATAAAATATGAACTTCACAATATTAGGAATAAGAATCACATTAGAATTTCCAACCTGACTTAAGGCTGGCTTAAGGAAGAAAGCACAAGCAGTACACGCCCATAGGTCAGGAAAATCCACTTTGACCAAAGAAAGTTTTGGGCAAAATCATGCATAGCCATATTGCTTTATAATTGGTTTATGCGTATTTTTTAGGTACTGACAATGAACTTGGTTTCTAAGACATATGGGGTTCATAGACCTACTTGTATGATAGTAATTTAAGAAAACAATGATCCATAGGTGGTCACTAGTATGGAGGGCAAACTGATGTACAATATGACAATTATAAATAAGTTAACAAGGAGGTTTAGTCAATGCCAGAGTGAATTAAAAGTCTAAAAGTAAGGTGACAGAAATCATAAACTGAGTCCTGGAATATAGGTGGTTATCAGCAATATGCAAGAGAGTATTGTTAAAGAAGATTTGATAATTCTGCTGCTTCTGATCTAATCACCTTTGACATGAAGCCCACTGTCTTGTTATGACAACATACCTCCCCAACTTATTAGCCGAAGCTTGCATTAATTAGCCATTGACACCCAGAGAAAGGAACTATAGGGTTTATGCATTTCACAACTAATGGATTGGCGTAACTGGAACACCTATTAATATGGTCAATAAATATATACAAAAATCTCCTTGTGAGACCAGTGGTAAATGGAGCTCCCAAACATCTAACAGTATTTGTAGTAACTAGGGTGTCAACAGTCTGAAGTAACATACATGACAATCTTCTTGGACAATGACATCAACATTGTCCAGTTGGTCTTATATAAAATTATTATCTGAGTTCTGATACAAATGAAAAACTTGTTGATATTTGTCAGTACCATATAAGGACAAATTGTATCGTAATAAGTTTTATCTGTAACAGAAGGACATGGTTCAGACTTCGGACTTAAACTACAGAACTGTGCTCGTCATAATGAAAATACTGGCTATAAAACTGGGAACTTGTACACTATACATAATGGTTGCCAAAAATAGTAGATGTGTATTGAACTTATTTTAAAGTTCTATCATAACGGTTCAAATCCAACTGCAGACCTGGCAACTAAGCTTAGTACCAGGAACCGTAAAGAAGAACACACCTGGGAGTCAATCAATGAGATCTATTAGATCGAGATCTTATAAGATAATCTCAAACTAGGTGAAATAGTAATAAGCCGTGCATTCTCAAATCGTTGCAAACTCATGAATAGCTATGCAACTCTAAGGTCGTTGACTCAAATGTGGATAATCCTTACGTTCTTTGATCAATTATCTTCTTGAATAAATAATTGTTTTTCCCTCTCAAGGAAGATCAACCCGAACAACCTGACATTGCACAGCCTCTATTCCGGAATCCTGCAACTAAAATCTAAAACAAAGATACAGAAATAAAACCCTAACAGAAAAGGATATGGGAATTGACACACACACCTGAGTTACCGCATCCGACGACGAGGGTTCGATGATCTCGAGGAACGTAGAAGTTAAGCAGCGGAGCTAAGGCTGGATACTTCTGGTACCAATCAAAGGGGCCAGTGTCTTGAGTATATCTGTCATCCCAGTACGATGGTTCACCATACCCCTGAGTCGTCGTCCCCAGCGTCATTTCTTTCCCTCCCTGATTTGTTGCCAGGTGAGTATTATTTGTTTCTTTGCATCATCATAAAGCTGTGGACGACTGAATAAGGTGAGCTCTCGAGTAGGGGTGATCATGAACGGCCCGGCCCGGCCCAGGGTTTCGGGCCTATAACATAAGCCCTAGTCCAAGTTTACACGGGCCCTGGCCGGGCCAGGCCTGATTCTGGACCAATGTCTTTTATATATAAAACATTATATCTCTATAATATTTTATACTAAATGATATAATATGTATATAAACTTTTATTTTATATATTATATAATATAAAATATTACATATAATATAAATTATACATGTCATGTTATAATATTTATATATAAAATATATAATATAATATAAAATAACATGTATACATTATACATAAAATGTGTAAGTTTAAATATATGCGGACCAACCTTGAAGTATTAAGCCCAAGCCCAGCTCTAAAATTTGCGGTCCTGATGTGGGTCCGGCACAAAACCTAGACCCAATCCTGGAATTTCGGGCTGGGCTGAAATGATTATCCCTACTCTTGAGGGAGAGTATTGGGTTTGGGAGGGTATGCGGACCAGCCTTGTATTTTGTATGTATTTGGACCGTACATATTTGTATTTGTACTCCTTTCAAACTGAACCTTAGGAAAAATTTTCAATTAGTACCTGTACTTTGGGCCTAGTACCACTTTGGCCCCTAGACTTTAAAAATTAAAATGCAACAATTCGGTATACAAACTTTCAAAACATGTCAATCCAATATCTACCGTTAATCTACATAAATGCCCTTTAAGTGTCATTTATTTTTTTTATCAACCATTCAAACGTTGACAAAAAATTAACAATCCAAAATCCCTACTTCTTTCGTCTTAGTGGGCATTTTAGACCCCAACTTTATTGAATAAGAGACAAGGAATTAGGAGTGTTAATTTTCTGTTAACGTTTGGATGGTTGATAAAGAAAATTAAATGACACTTGAAAGGCATTTGTGCCTTTTTCAAATGCCATTTAACAGCTAGTTAACGATAGATAATAAATTAACACATTTTAAAATTTTGAATATTGAATTGTCACATTTTAAAGTTCGGAGACCAAAGTGGCATTAGGTCCAAAATACAGGATACTCATCAGGAATTTTCCCTTTTATTTATGGTTATTAATGATTTCACCTTTCTAACACCGACATCTAGAATATCATAGCCCTGTATAACTCTTTTGAAGCTGCAAACTGCATCATATATTCACCTGAATTTTGATGATTAGTGGGTGTTTTGCACTAAAAAGATTTCCTTCATTTTAGGGTAAAGATAAAGTTGACATTATACAACAATTTAATTTTGTCAATTTTCTACAATATGGAATCTGCTAGAGACATCTTCTAAGTGGGTATTTGGCACTAAAGCATTTTATAAGCATTCTATTTTTGCTGATGTATCATTCATATCACATTAGCAAATAAATGGAATCGACAAGAAAATCTCATTTTGTAGTATTTAAAAAAAAACATTTTTGCAATGATTAGTTTCGAGATTCATAAATGATTGATTTCTTGAAATGTCAAATATAGGGATGCAAATGGACCGAGTTGGATTCAAATTAGAGTACATCCAAATCCGATCCGACATGGTTAAGAGTTGATCCGAAGATCCAATTAAATCTTGTAAGTATGGATTTGAATTCAAATTCAGTGAAGAAGTCAGATATTCGATTAGATCCAATCCGATTTAAATTTCTTAAAAATTTAATAAATTATCAAAAGAAAAATAAAATATAATAATTAAAAAGAACAACAAAAAATACAAATATCATTTCAACTATTTTCATCATATATATATACATGTTTTTTTATAAAAAAAAATAATTAATATAACAAATTTATAAAAATGCAATATAAATAATATATTTTATATATATATATATATATATATATATATATTGGATTGGATAGGGGTGATCCTATCCGATTTGAAGATCCAAGGGAAGGGGATTTGAACCTGACAAAATAGTATCGGATCTGCCACGTCAACATGCGTCTCAATTTTTCCTTTTTTTGTATTTTTTCAAAAAATAAAAAAAAGTGAAAGAAACACTCATGAATCGAGCCCACTTGTGATGCCAAGCACCATGTCATCATGTAAGAGTGTCACCTCGGCTAATGAAGTGCCACCTAGTTTGTGTTATATTGGGTCCGTACCTCAATTAATGTAACTATGTAAGCACTTGCACGAGAGGCCCCAGGAGATACTGTGAGTGTGAACAACTCTAATGGTCGAGTTAACAACACAAAAAATAGAGAAGATGAACTGTTGAGTGAGACATGATAGGATGTGAGGTCATTGCACTAAAATTAAGACAGATATCCACTTTATAATAATATACTAGCGGGGATTGTGCGATGCACAGGATTTATTAAAAGGAAGCTAAATAATATAAATGGTCATTTACTAAAATACCCTTTATAATTTAATGGATTTACTAAAATCTACCCTATATTTAAAATTTTACTAAAACACCATTTTATGAATTTAATTAATCTTCCACTAGATGACAGTGAAAAATGATAGTATTGACCCTAATGTTCATTTAAATAAATTTAATCAAAAGAATATAAAAATAAAATTTTTGCCCTTTATAAGACATGGGCGGTTTATTGGCTATATTTGGTTAATTTTGTTTTCTGTACAAAAAAAAACATGTTAAGGGTATTTTTGGAATAAAAAATCATGGGCCTAATGGCAAAATAAACACTCCTTAATGAAAGGTTGATTAAGTAAATAAGTTGTTAAATATATGGGATGTTTTAATAAAATGAAAACCATAAGGTATGTTTAAGTAAATATGTAAAACTATAAGATGTGTTCTAGTAAATGACCCTAATAGAATCACATGAGAGTACACAATTGTTTTATATTTTTAACTTTTTAAATAAAAAATAATAATTATTCATATTTTATATACTATTTTCAATATTTTTTACTAATACAAAAATAACAATAATTAATTTCAATTAGGTTAATTCATCAAATTGATGAAACTGGCCAACCTGATAAACTCGACCCAAGTTGGTCGATTTTCTAGTATTTTAGGTCGGCTATGGTTCAAAAATTTTCCAATTCAACCAAGTTGGATCAATTTCATTTTGACCATTTGTAAACCAACCAAAGTCGAACAACCTAACCATGGATATATATTAACATTTTATATTTTAAATATAAATTTTGATATGGAAAAGTGGGAAATTTCTCATATTTCTTAGTCTAAAATATTTTATATCATAAATATAATTTTAAAATTTATTTTTTTAATAATTGCACTATGATTTTTAAAAGTTGATTTAATTTTTATGTTTAAATCTTTGAACCGACTAACTGAACCAAAAAATTGACCCAAATAGATATAACCTGAGTGGGTCGGTTTTCACAAAAATGTTAGTCGATTTCAGCTAACCAATTCCCCAACCTGACCAGGCCAATTTGGTTGACCAAATAGCTTACGACCGAACCGAACCAACTCATAAACACTCACAATTACATCTAAATTAAGAGTTTAATCTCTGATAAATAACAATAGTTTAATCTCCAATAACTATTGAAACTTTATAGCAAAAACACACAATTATTAAAAATATATTGATAATGAAAAAATACAATAAGTACTAAAAATATATTAACTTAGTCAATAAATAGTATAATCTCAAATAATAGTTTAATCTCTAATAAACATTAATCAATAAGTTATAACAAAAATACAATAAGTACAATAATTTAATTTTATTTAATCTCCAATAATTATTGAAAGTTTGCTATTAAATAACAAAAAAAAATAAATTTATACATAATCATTGAAAATACATTTATCACAAAAACAATAAATAATTACTAAAATACAATAAATATTAATTTTAGTATATATAACTATATAATAAATACAAGTTAAGAGATTAAAATGATTATTAATAAATATTAATTTTCTTGAAAGTTATTTTCTCGAATTATTACTTGATAAAAGTGAAATTAGTTATTTACAATATTATGTAAAAATGTTAAATTATTATCAATTTCAATATTATGTTATAATTATTTGTATACTTTATAGAAATTTTTTAAATTTATTACATATTTACTTTATTTTAACTATTTAAAATCTAGTTACGTTAAATATTTTGTTATTTAAAATACCCAATTATTTTAATACTTAAATAATATGTAAAATATTAGTTATTTATGGAATTTAATTATCCATAAAATCACAATTTATACAATTATTACATAATTTCATTATTAATTTTGTAATATATTAAATTATTATTAATTTCAATATTATGCTATAACTATTTTTCTGCTTTAAAGAAATTTTTAAATTTATTACATAATTTTGTTATTTTAACGATTTAAAATATAGTTATGATAAATATTTAAAATTTTGCGTTATTTAATTTTATTTATTTAAAGCTATTACATATTATTAAATGTTTGAAAAGCATTTAAATCGATTATCTAGAAAAACATAATTTAAATTGTTAGTACATAATTTCGTGATATATTTTATAAAAAAATATAAAATTATTTATTAGTTAATTTCGTTTTTTAACTATTTAAAATATATTTATGATAAATATTTAGTTATTTAAATATTTAAATAATCTATAAAATATCTATTTTTTTGTTCTTTGAATTTTATTTATTTAAAGCTGTTACATATTATTAAAAATTTGAAAAACATTTAAGTTGATAATCCAAATAAACATAATTTAAATTGTTAGCACATAATTTTGTGATATATTTTGTAAATATATAAAATTATTTTTTGTGTTTTTAATAGATGTTTTAAAGTTATTATATAATTTTGTTAGAATATTTAAATAGTTCTTAAATTTTTTAACCTAAACTTTCTTTAGATAGATATAGATAAAAAGTATGGGAGAGGATAAATAGGAATTATAGATAATTTATGAGAGAAACTCTCTATTAAATTAGAGATAATTTTGGAGATAAATAGGAATTAGAGATAATTTAGAAGATAAATAGGAATTAGAGATAATTTAGGTAAGAAATACT